TCATGATGAAAAATTATTTTGATATTCATGACTTGATTTTTCATCTTTGCTATTTATCTTTGTCATGATTTGAAAATTATTGTAAAGAGAAAAAGAGATACAAAATTGTATTCTTTCCTTCTTTTTGATAATGACAAAAGGAGAGATAGCTAGCTTACTAACTAGCTTACACAAGTCAAGAAGAAGCAAGAAGATTGCTCATCTCAAAAGATGCAAAAATCTTGCCAACTTTCATGTGTGTAAAATTTGCTAGCTCACAAATTGTAAGGAGAAAAAAAACTTGCTAGTTTGCTTGCACATCTAAAGAGAAGCAAAAATTACAACCATATATATCACAAAGAGAGGCAAAACTTATTAGTTTTCTCATCTCAAAAGCAAGAAATGCTATCTTGCAACATCAAGCAAAAGTGCTATCTTGCCTATCTCAAGAAGCAAAGCTTGCAACTTGCACATTGCAAAAGGAAGCAAAAATAGCTAGCTTGCATGTTCTAAAATTTTGTAAAATTTTTGCTAGCTTACATGATGATAAAACTGGAGATTTATGATGCAATGTATTGAACTTATATCTCAAACAAATGAAAGTTACACTTCTCCTTTTTGTTGATGACAAAGGGGGAGAAGTATGATCATGTTATGCATGATGACGTGTTGCAAATATTCATGATGAAATTTGCAATGACTTGAATTCAGCTTGAATTCAAGGTTCTATCAATATGGCATATTGATAGGGGGAGTTAAAGTTAACTCCATCATCAATTGGTTATCATCATCAAAAAGGGGGAGATTGTTGAATCTCAGATTTTGATGATGAAACCAATTGATAAGTGTTTATTATTTGATCTGTGTTTTGAGTGACGCAGGATGCTTCAATCAGGATGAGACAATCAAAGCAGGAAGAATCATGTTAGGCCGGTGGAACATGTCAGAAGATTGGATGTCAAGCCGGAGGATTGGTCAACGTATCGACAGAAGGCTTCGGGCCATGGATGCGAGCATCGGGCCAAGAAAAGCGGATATTGCGCCAAAGATATGAGAGTTACGGAGTCAACTGGCTGATTGGGCAATAGGACGCAAGAGAGGATGATGCGCTGAAGAATCGGACGAAGCATCGATGGACCAATGACATGCTGGACAACATGATTCAAGCTTAGTAATAATTGTCTAGATCAAAGTGTGTTTTTACATGTGCAGGATTAACTATGATAGCAAGGCATAAAGCAAAATGAAGTCCCGGAGTCAAGAACATGATTTCGTTGGGAGTTCGAGAGTTCGTCGGAAGTCCAGATGTTTGTCGGAAGTTCTGCCGGAACCAACCGAGAAGTCTAGGAGCTTGCCAAAGAAGCTTGTCGGAACTCACCAAGAAGATCGTCGTGAAGTCCAGGAGCTTGTCGGAAGTCCGCCAGAACATTGCCGAGAGATCGTCAGAAGTTCGCCGAAAGATCGTCGGAAGCTTGCCGGAAGAAACTAGACTTACGAACTTGTTTAGCTTAGGAAATATCTTAGAATTCGTAGTTAGCACATAATTGGGATTGGAATTGGGCTAACCCAATTAGGGGCCCATGTAAGAACTATGTTGGGCCCAATGAAAAGGACCAAACAGTGACACAAGAAGTGGCACCGTCATGGCACAATCTTCGAGATTATGTCAAGCGGTGGTACCACCAGTCTGGGCAGTGGTATTGCCCCTGGCATGGTGCTAGGCGGTGGTACTGCCCAATGGCCCAGTGTCGGGCGGTGGTACCGCTAGACTAGGAGGCGGTACCGCCCGGTGCAGTGTTAGTGTCAGACTGATACTAGCGGTGGTACCCCCGAACTTAGGAAACCCGAGATGAGATGTTTTTAGGCTCTAAGTTTGAATCAACTTGTGACCTATAAATACCTCTCTTATCCCTGGTTAATATACATAATACTTCAGAGTAAAAATAAAAAGAAACGCTGCTGCAATCTTATGTTGACTCCTCTCAAAAGTTCTAAGTGTTAGAATAGTTTGAGAGAGGAGTGAGTGGGGGATGTAAGGGTTATCTACTAAACCCGGTAAAAGGAGAATCGAGTTATAAAAGGTGGTTGGTCTTCGCCTATTGAAGAAAGACCGATAGTGGATACCGGTGGCCTATAAATACCCCTCTCATCCCTGGTTAACACACACAAGAAAAGAGAATTTAAAAAGGGAAAAATGCTGTAGAAATCTCTTGTGAGAATCCTTCTCTAGTCTAAGTGTTAGAATTCTGTTTAGAGAGGAGTGTGTGTGCTTGTAAGGGTTGTCTCCTAAACCCAATAAAAGGAGAAGAGGAGTGTAATAAGGAGGTTGATCTTCGCCTATTAAAGGAAGATCGATAGTGGATGCCGGTGGCCTCGACGGAAGAGGAATCGGCGGAGTGGATGTAGGTCACAACGACCGAACCACTATAAAATTGGCGTGTTCTCTGGTTTGAATTTCTATTGTTGTCATTTACTTTACTGCAAACTATTTTACTTGCTTACTACCTTCAATATATTTACGAACACGTGTTTTAAGTTAAGTTTCCGAAATCGATTTTTATCGTACGAAAGAATTGTTCGAAACCAACGTATTTTATCACTGCGCTAGTTCGGGGCTCTTAGCACTGACTCTTTTCCTAACATATTAAACATTAATCAGCAAAAGAAATAACTCATATGATAATCATGATAATATATAAATCATGCTTTCATGTGAAAGATAAACATTATTTCATAATTTCAAATATATACATATGAATAACTAAATGAATATCCAAGAACAATAATTGGATTTTATTTACCACATGTTAAAATATAATTAATAAGTCATATGATAAAACTATAAAAGTAAACCATAATTTATATTTTTTTAATTAAAATTAAATCTAATCAAATAATCAAAATATAATCATGATTAAATTCAATCATAATTATAATAAATCATATTTATTAATTTTATAATTGATAATATAAATTAGAAATTCTCAATTTCATAAGGGTAAAACTATAAATATTTGATAGGATATAAACTGGAATTATGAGATTTGTAAAGGGTATAACTATAAAAAAAAATAAAATATATTAATAAAATATAAAAGGGCAAAGTTATAATTTGACTAAAGGGCAACCCTGGGGCAAAACTATAATTTTTGCCAAAACCTTACTACTTGCGTCGCTGCTGCTTGTGCGTGTGGCGTTGCCACACTCGGCTACCTTTGCCCGCTTGCGGCCACTATGGCGGTTCCTGCCCGCGCATGACCGCTACCGCCGCGGGGCTGCCTTTACCCACGCGCGGCCACTACGGCGGTTCTTACCCATGCATGTGGCTGTTGCTTGCGTGGCTGCCATCGCCTACGCACAGCTAGTCGCGGTTACTGCTAGCGCGCGACCACCGCTTGGGCACGGCCTACCCACGCACGATCACCGTCGGTGCTGTATGCCTTCGTGCAGTCGTCGCATGGATGCGAGCTATGCCCGTGTGCGGCCGTCGCATATGCGCAGTGATGCCCACATGCGTGTGCCGCCTATTGCGCTGCGACGTGCATGCTGCCCAGTGCAGCCTCTACCGCTAGTAGATTCACTAGCTATATGTAGCAAGGTCGTCGACGACCATTGCTGCTCCACGATCATTAGAAAATATGGATCATTCATGCATCGTAAACAAAAATAACAGATTTAATATATTTGATCTCAAGAAAATAGGCTCTCATACCAATTGTTAGCATAAAATATATAATCATGCTATTTGTAATACGAAAAAACTCTTATGCCAGGATTGAAATCAAATAAAATTAGATCTAACAATATTACGATGCCTACCTTTGTTGTTGTTCAGAAGAATAAACATTATCTGATCTACAAGCGCACCATCGTTGGATCTGAGATATCAATCTGCAAAGAGAACTAGACATTTCATTTCCTCTCTTCCTATCTTTTCATAGGACCACTTAGATTGATGGATTAGGGTGATTGAGAGAAAAACTTTAATCTCTCAATTGAGATGAGATGTGTCTTATTTAGCCCCTAGAGATCTTGTTTATTTATAGGCGAGAGGAGAGGGTCTAGGATAAATTATTAGGAGAGCTCCTCCCATCAAAAGACATCCCGTAAGTAATTCTATTATAACATTAACTTATTTTCTAGTGATCAATAATCATAATTAGAATCTAATCATATCGATAATATATCTTACCTAATTAAATAGGTCATATGATCTAATAAACCTTTCGGGACAATGATGATCACTCCCACATCGAAGAACTACATCACCGACTACAGTAGCCCGAAGAGTTCTTGTCACGTGCGAATACCCACCTCTGCGCATTCATCAATCTGCTACGAACGAACAGCTATGGAAACCCTAAAATCTGGTCTTTATGTTTTTGATATATGTAGACCTCAAACCACATTTCAGCAACAATAGCATTTCCAAGTTCATGAATGCAGAAAGATCTTTATCAGCTAGACAGACTAATTGGCACCCATTCGAATTTTTCTTATTTTCTTTCTCAGTCAACCTATTTGAATTTTGAATTTTTTTTATCTTTTAGTCATCAAAATTCATGCATAACAAAACAACATTTCATAATTATATCTTTCATATTTTTTAGAAATATGTTTTATAAAAATATTTTTTTATCTCTTTTTATATCGACCAGCGCGACCGAGAAACCAGTCTACCGAGATTTGACCGGATCAATAGTAATTCCTAGATATTACTAAACCACAAATATATGTAGTTTTGTAGGTATATAAATCTTATTACAACGGAACCTCAAATGATCGATGACCCCCACCCATACTCTCAACATTAATCGTCAGTCACAGTGGAGCCCAAGGAGTCATACCGGCGGCCGTGCCCAAAACGTAAGCTCCAAGAGCAGTCCGCGGGCCACACAGCATTGGTTTACCGTCGGCCCACCATCCGACGGTCGAGAATAATCAGTACCTTAACATGTTCGCTTTCGGTGTTGCATCAGGTGGGGTCTCGATCTGTATACGCAGAAAAAGAAGCGATCTTTCGCACCCGTCACTGTCGGTAAAAACACGAATCTTCCTTGCTCCCCCCTTTCGGTGTACCGTCTGCTTCCTCTCCGTTCTTTTTCTGTCCACCTCCTCAGTTTCTCTTCTGTAATCCCTACAAAGGGAAGAGAAAGGAGTCGCATGTGAGCCGATCCCTCGTCTGTCCAAATGGCCTTTCTCCGATCCTACGTGAGTTCTTCTTCTCTTCATTTTCTGTTCTCGATCAAGATTTTCTCTTTGCTTTTGTATTTTATTGGCAGATTGAGGAGATCGGATTTGTTTATCTCTTGTAATTTCATTTTGAGGCCCGATCGATGTGCAGTCTTCGATTTTTTTCGGAATTTTCTATTTTTCTCGTTCAATTTTGGGGTTTTCAGGGAATTTGGATTTGATCGGTTCGGTTTGTGGCGCTTTTTGATGTTGATGTCTTTCTATTTAGATTTCAGTTGACTGCTCCGTCGATCGAGTGAGTTGTTGGTCGATCGGGTTTACTATTTGTAGTGTGTTGAAGGCAACGAAATTATGTTTCCGTCTACACTGTTTTAGGCGTTTTGGTTGTTCATGGAATTTCTTTTTTTTATATGCGTTAGGGGTTTATGTTCATATCAACTCTGAATTGAGATTCAGATGTGTAGTCATTTATGTGAAAATATCGATTTTGATGCCCAAGTCTGTGGCCTGCCTTTTGTTGTTTTCGTTTTCTTGCTGTTCCAAGCTTTGGAATCGTTGAAAAGTAGTGTGAAGACCATCACTGGACGGTATAGCTGCATCATCAGGGATTCATTCTCCTACAACTAAGACTTCAGAATGCTTGTGTTATTTGTTCATAATTTTTCCTGAGCATATTTACCTGGCATTGACGTTGGAGCGATGTATATATCGTACAGCAGCTGTGTAGTTTCCACCTTGTAATCTTGGATATTATGATCTTGTACATATCACTTGATGTAGAAGGAGATGTGGTCACTGGTTCTTCTCTTATTGTGTCGTTGAATGTTGTAAGTTCTAGTCGAGGCCCAAGCACTAGAGGACTTTAGAACCTAGGCTCGAAGCTGAAGGCTAATGCCTTAACAAAGCTATTCATGCTTCATGATACTTGTATGAATGATAATCTTCTAGATGAAAGAGATTAACAATCAAGATGCACTCTTGCCCAAAAATATCCAAATTGTGTCAATCCTTTGTTCTTTGAGGACCATAAATATTCTTCCTTTTCTTTCATATTACCTCTTCCTCCATTTTAGTGATGCTCTCTTTATCTTCCTATGCTTTTCTCCTTCAATATCAAATTATTTCTTGAGCCACAAGGCTTTTAACTTTTTCTTTAAATTGACCATCTTTCTTTTCAATTTGATAATCCTTTCGTTCTGTAGGAGTTCATTTATCAATGCTTTTATTTCTCTCTGAGTTCAGTAGAGCCTTAGTTCATTTGACCAATTCCTTGACCAACAAACTCTTGCAACCTTCTACTGAGGAATTTTCTTGTTTTACAGCTTACTTTTGATGTTTCAGCCTCATGAATCTTCTTTTCTTGTTATGTAGGTTGGCACCCTTAGGTACAATTTTCTTCTATGAGGTGCATTTTTTTATTTTAAAACTCAAGCTTGAAAATACGCATTATTTGCACCACATTATTCAGATGCACAATTAGTTTCTTTATGCATTTTTTGCCTCCTAAACAATGTGGTTTATCACCTCTGGTTACCCATCTGTTTTAGCATTAAATTAATGCCATCTTGTTGAAGCGATGATTCATCACTTAAATGGAACTGATCTGATCTGGCTTATCCTATATCATCACGACAAAGCTTTAAAATCGATCAACTGCATAGTAATTCATTGTAGCACCATAAATCTTGGGCAATTCAACTATATATATGTCAACCTTAACACATTTTGCATTTTCCTTTATTTTTTAGCTGACTCTGATTTTAAAGTTATTTTTTATTATTTTGAAGCTGTTGAATTAGATGGTTTTTTTATTAGTCTAAGGTCCCTAATAATCGTTTTCCACTTTATCTTGACTGCAGATGTGTATGAAACTTATAGAGTATAGGCTTCTTCTTAAGCCTTGTCTCAGATTTTTTATTTTTTTAATCAAATAAAGTTATTATTTCATGTCTTTCTTCTTTATGTGTATTACTGTTACATCTACATTTTAAATCAAAAGTGCATTTGTAAAACTACCAATACAGTATGGGCAGTGTTGGCTTTGGTCCATGATGGTCATAAAACTGTTAAGCTCTTCAGCAGGCAATTATGCACATTAAAAAATTCATAAAATTAAAAACACTTCTAAGACAAGATATGGTCTTAGCTTTGATAGATCTGTTTTGTAACTGTTTGTTGTGGTTGCTTCATGGATTACTAGTGTCATAAGAAGTCACTTCTGTGTTCATATGTTTATAAAACATGTACCCTGCTGAACCAGCTTGATAACCCACTCTCTCATCTGGCTGCCATGAGCCAGGGCCTTGTAATGCTTCTTCTAAAAACAGTGTATTCAGATATATTGATTTTCTTGCCTGTCAATGTAAAGGACCATCATCTCTTGTTTGGGTGATTCACTATTTTCTTTATTGCTGAATGAATTGTGTTTTTAAAATTTATATTTTCTTTAATAATTCATTGAATTTTAAATGTCGCAATCCTAAGAACAATCATTAATGACGTCTGAATTTTATCTTCAAATGTTTTCAGTCGAATGCATCCTCTGGAATGGGTGTTGCTGAGGATTGCAGAGACACCTTCGTAGAGCTTCAAAGGAAGAAGACCCATCGATATGTGATATTCAAAATTGATGAGAAACGAAAGCAGGTTATTGTGGAGAAGACTGGAGATGCAACTGAAAGCTATGATGATTTCATGGCATCTCTGCCTGAGAATGATTGTCGTTATGCTGTCTATGATTTTGACTTTGTCACTGAAGAGAATTGTCAAAAAAGCAAGATCTTTTTCATTGCCTGGTGAGACTTTTGATGCTAGAATTTTCTCCTCTTAGTGGCTATTCTGGTGTTAATATTAGTGAGATTTGGTTAGGTAGTATACTGATACAAGTGGTATATATCAGTATATCAGTATGCCTACCGTACCATGTGTTGGTACGTTGGCATAGCTTGGTATGTACCATACCGATGGCCGGTCAGTACACCGGTATATGAATTGGAAACGCGAATCATGCAAAATAGATTCATACTACTAGGATTCTTTTGCTAACAGCTGCAGAATGCATGCTCTCATACTTCTTTAACCTCTATTTAAAATTTATGAACTTATTGTCGGAAGAAATTAGCTTAACTAACAACAAAATCTTTACCCTTGACACCGTGAACGTTACAAAACCCAACAATGGAATATAAGGATCACTAAGAGGTGAGGACTTGGTAGACTTAAAAATTGTGAAGCCAAGCAATTTCAATTGAATATGTATAAAATGTATATATTGTTATTATAATTGTCACTGCCCTATGATAAATTAGCTTAAACCTTGCAATTTATTTTGCTTTGGGTATAGTACAATCAAAAGTTGATTGAGGTCCTTGAAGGAGATATATGCATCTTTTATCTGTCCTAGAGTGGGGATGTGGCAAATGGTTGTTGTTACGGTAAGTAACTTTTTTAGCCGTGGCCTCGGGGCCGTCGCGGCTCGGTTCGGGTCCGGACGACGGGGATCTCCCTGGGGCGTTCCTCGGGGTCTCGCGGCGGCCGAGCATGGTGGTTCGGGTCGCCCGGTCGGGT